TCTTACGAAAAAAAGTGAAAAATATTATTGCAAATACTATGTGCTAGCCAGATTCTATATTTAATAACAGAAGCGTACACCTGGCACAGCAACAATTTCCAAAAAATAAAACAAAATTAATTTATTAGATTTAAGACTGATAAAGGTCAATACTTTTTCACTTAGAANTCTTACGAAAAAAAGTGAAAAATATTATTGCAAATACTATGTGCTAGCCAGATTCTATATTTAATAACAGAAGCGTACACCTGGCACAGCAACAATTTCCAAAAAATAAAACAAAATTAATTTATTAGATTTAAGACTGATAAAGGTCAATACTTTTTCACTTAGAATTTGATGCTCTTCCATACTTTGATATCAAAAATATGGTATTCCATTTAAGAAAAAAAACTTGACTTCCGAATCTTCGAAACGTCTCTACCTATAAAAAAACTAATGCACTGCACAGTGTACACATTTGAACCTGGAAACTTTTGTATACAACATTTCGTTGCCCAACACAAATTTTGGAAGTTGCAGGAGGCGCACAATTTGCGCGAGACACCCTGTATAAATAAAAAGAACCTCGATGATCTTGAGAAGTCCCAAAAGTATGACGTATAAAAAATGTTCTTGTTGTATGTGGTAGCGTTCATGTTTCGTAAAAAGTATTGTTTACATTATCACAATTCGACGAGATATTTACTACCCTAACTTTAGTCCCTCCAAACGTTATTGAAAATATTAGCTCCGAATGTTAAGATCGGTTTGATAGGCTTAACAAGTCCTCCGTTTCTAATTAGTCTGCACGACCTATTTGTTTGCTACCGAAACTTTCTAAATGGTTTATGTTTCGAGAAAGAAACGGAGGTTCGGGCTAAAAGCCGGGTGTCTCTGCAATATTCAAGGCATCAGCGATTCCAAATGCATGAATCGATCCGAGAACGAAAGAAGAAGTAAAAGATACCGGTGCTCGGTGAAAAGACTGCACTTAACGGGGAAGATATATATATATATATCGTTCCGGAGAACGGAACGGAAGTGATATGTGGCCACGCTTACCGGTGCGACTAAACGCACTATTTCTTGTTCAGTCGACGAAGTCCCTTCGAGAATCCTACGACAGTTCCGAAAGAGTACATTCAGCGGGAGTTACAATTGCTTTCAACTCTGATGAACTCCTAAGGGAGACTAGGTCGGCAATTTTCTATCAATCGCTGTTACAGTGGTGCACGGTTAAATTTACCAGCCCCACTCACACTTCTTATCCATCACAGCGTTTCGAGCTCAGCGAAGCCTTATATCTCGGTACACAAGGGTAGAGAATGACAAAGTAAATATGCAAGAATCATAATTTTATTTTCGGTCATTTTTGCGTTACTTTTATAATTATAGCATCAGTGGATAATTGAGATTCTTCCGATTAAAATGAGCTCAAACGCGATGTAAATCGATCTACGTTCATCGAGGAATTTATTATTATAATTGTGTATTAATCAATCCAAGAATAATTTTAATTAAACTTAATTCCTATATAATATCATTTCATCGTAATTTCATTTAACTGAAATTGATTGTAATATTGTATGAGTTGTTGACGATGCGAAAAATGATTAGGACGATAATTATTTGATGTGAAAGTTGTAAAATATAAAGTAGTTAAAGTTGTGAAACAGATCAGCTGGACTGTTTTGAATAAATTATGGTGCAAGTTTTGATATACTCATATACCCAGTCCATACGAATTTAATCAACTGTTACTTTAAACGCTTCTTGAGATTTTAAAAGTATTAGAAGATTGAAAAGAACCACAGGAAGAGATTAAACCAAATAGCTTACTAAAGATGAGATTAAATTTAAATAAAAGAACTGCAATTTGAGCTAAATAGAAACAAAATTCCTGTACGCTGCTTGGACCTTTTAAATTCTATAGAAATGCTGCGTCGATAACAGAGAATGGTGCCATCTGTTGTCAGACACAGGAAAGTGTTACTTTCAATTTCAATTTCTCGCAAAAATCGATTGAAAAATTAAGGATAACATAATTTAGTTGCTAAACTTTGAATTGCCGATTTAGAGCTATAAATAAAAGATTAATTGTACCGTTTATTTTCCAGTGAAATATAAATTGACTTACACGCATGGTACTGAATTAAAGTAACAATTTTTTTTATCCAAAGGAATAATGAGAATAGAATTTACCTCGGCAATGAAAAAGTAATTTAAGAGAAAAGACTTACCTCTTTCCCTGGATGTCACGGTAACCGCACCTGCAGATTTGATTTCATGACCCTGTGAGTCGCCGCTATTTTTAACAAATTGCCAGTCTTCTCTCAGCTTCTTTAACTTTTCCTAATACACATAAATCTTACATGTACATCTAAATTTAAACAACATAAAATATGCAATAGTGTAAGTTAAGGTAGGAAAAGGGTGAATAATGACGCAAGCACAGTGAAAAAAACGTTAATAATTTAAAAACAAAGCCGAAACCGGAATACTATTACTCTTGGTTTATTTTGTAAAATATTTTACACACATAATTAAACACATTCTATGCAACATTAAAGATAGTAGATCTCTTACAGGTCTACTGCGGAATGCGTCATGACATGGTGGGAATAGAGCTAAGGAAGGAATATTACATTCGAATTTGTATGTTTTGCATAGCCTGATAAATAATTCATTCCAAATAAAACAGATACATTGTCAAAATTATAAACCAGAATAAAGAATTATCAAGTTTTATACTGCTATTAATAAACATTTTGATGCGAAACTACTGTAGTTTCGAAGATTCGATTCATATTAGAAAATTAACATATGCATATTTTTGTACTTACTTGTAATTCCACAGAAATTGGTTGTTTCGCAGACTCGCACTCTTTCTCCAAGTTAGTATAGTTCTCCAATACATCCTTAACTTCCATTTCACGGTCTTCTACTTTAGTCTATCCATACATAATATAACGGTTAACAGTGCTATATTGTTTTCAGTTCACAGGCACATTAACACTTACCATAACATTATTAATAACTTTGATTCGATCTTGTTCAGACAGTTCTCGAGATATGCTTATTCTTGTTCGCGTTTCCATGACCCATGCCATGACAGCATCCAAAGTACAAATGTATTTTTTAAGAGAGGCAAGCTTATTTTCAACGTATTCACGATGATTCGAAAGGTTTAAATTGGCCTATAAATTAAATTTAAATAATTAACATAATTGTCATTCACTCCCAAACTTTCTTCATGAATTTCAATAAATCATTCTAAACCGTACCTTGTCCATATCGGCAAGGAGTTTGTTGCACTCGTCTTCGCTCGAAGATGCCGAATTTTGAGGTATTAAATTTTGCAACGATCTCTTACGAGTACAAAGTTCTTCTTGCTTGGCCTAAAAATATTAATACATATCCCATTAGCAAACAAATATAAAATCTCATCCACTGGGTTGACAAGTTTATGTTTGGAAAGGAAATATACAAAAAAGGGAGAGTTCAATGCTATTTACGTCTTGGCACAGTTTCGTTCATGCAGTCGTGGCATGAGAAGATATTATTAGGTTCACTTTCAGTGTATTTAATAACGTAACCGTGGGCAGTGATGTTTGATTTGATGACATTAATTTTTTAGTCAACGAATAAAGTGATCGTGTACGAAGTATTACTTATTTAAAACATAAACTAAATACATAACTGACAAAAAAGCTTTAAAATAATATACCAACGTGAACACTACTTTCACATGATACATTTTTTTATGGAATACGATCTAGTGTTTAAAATAAAAAAAAAACAGTGAAATTTTAGGTTCAACTTACTTTGATCAGTGACAATCTTATTGATAGAGAAGTTTCATCTGATGGATTAGCTGCTGACACCAGTAAGGAATTTATCTGCTCCAAGATGTTGTAAGCACTATCTAAAATTCTTCCTTCAGTATTCACTTTTCTTTCCATTGCAAAAGACCTTAAAGATGTAATATTGATATTAAATAGACATCAAAGAAATACTACGAATATTTATATAAATAACGTTCGTAATTGAGAATAAACTAATGTAATTCTGCAATCATAGCGAAAAATAAAATTAATAAATTTTAATACTTTTTCAAGTTTTTGCACAAATTTCTTTATTAGATTCAAGATTATACTGCGTTGAACACTGCAGCAGCACAGGCAAATCACAACTGAAATAGCTCAATCGGGAGAATAGCTTGAACGTGTCCATCAAAATCATTGAACTACTACTCTTAAGACCGAACTATAAAACAGCGAAAAACTATAAATAATTTATGCAACGGACTCAATACATACTTTTCTTTTCTTGTATTTAAATCGGCCACTATATTTTGCCAGCGACGCTTTATCATTTCAATCATGTCTTTCAAATCGATCATATCTTCTGATTTGGAACGAGCAAAGATGCTAGCACTTGAGACATTAATATTATTGACCGTTCGTTGCATTCTCGAAATTTCTTGCTCCAACTCAAATATTTTTGTCTTTGATGATTTCGAGTGACCAGCAGAATTCACCTTTTTTAAGGATTCTTCAATTTTATCGAGCCATTCACAGAAGCTTCTACACGTGTGACAAAGTTCTTTCCATTTTTGATAACATTTATCCCAACGATTATACCTTTCTACATAACTCTGATTAACATTAATCCATTCCTCTCGTAGTTTGTCGCTTAAACGTCTTATTTGTTCAGCTTGATCTCTCCTTAATTGCGAAGCAACGTTTTCAAAAACTGAGTTAATTTCCTCGATGCTTGGTTTTAGAATATTCAAAGCATTACTAATCTTTTTTAAACAATCCTCTTGGTTTGCGAACATTTCATAATCATCACCATTTAGCGGCATCGAATTTAGAGACCTGGTTACTGTTACCACAGCTTCTCTGATCTTGTTGACTCTTGTGGTAAATTCCTGCAAGTCAATTCTGCCCACATCCTACAAAACATTACATTAAAGAGCAACTTCTCTAAGAATAGTAACGCCTGATAAAAAATATGCACTAATGGTCAAAGTAAAAAGAAATGCACATTCTTCAAATCTATAATGATTTTTAAGTGAAAAAAAAATTATCAAACTCCATAGAGATATTTTCGAAAGGTCAACTGAGAAAAGTAAGATAAGAATTAAGATAACGATTACGTTAAAACTTAGTAAGTAATCCTTTTGTATTAACTGTTTGTTTATTATATATTGCTATTATTTATACGTACCACTTCAACTTTCTTGTCAGTAACATGTTTATCCTTATCCTTGCTGCCACTATATCTTTTAAACTGTGAACTAACTTCTTGCCACCTACTATTGATACTGTAGCGTATAGTTTCGGAATATCCAACATTCAATCTCTTTAATTCAACAGCCAGATCGTTCAGTTTATGAATCTGTTCGCGTTTAGCGTCAAACTCTTCTGTGAAAGATTCTAGGTGGCCTTCGTAGTTATTTACTTGTTCAAGTTTCAATGGAACATCTCTAAACCAATCTTCAAACTCTGCTACCAGACTGTTATATTGTCGCAGCATATCTTCACCCCGTTGTGCTTGAATTCTTCTAGTTTCAATCTCTGACATAACTTGGTGCCATTTGCTCCTCAACTTGTCCTGATGTTCGTTCTTTATCTTCTCTGCTCTAACAGGATCAGACGCATGCACTGTCATCACTAGACCATCACCTTTGCTAATCAAAGCTGCCGCATCTGGTGCAAGAGTACTAACTTCACCTTCTAGTACCTGAAACATAAAACACACATATAATTTGCAAATAGAATGATCATGTATAGGAGTATTACAAAAGTATATTTTATATTTATACAAACCTCAAGACGTTTGGCAGGATCTTTCTCATTGCTGATGCTACTAATACTCATAAACATAATATCCATTCTGTGTAACATTTTTTGAGCAGATTGTTCAAATTCAAGAATACACTTTTCCAGACCTGTTCTGGATAAAGACGTTAAAGCCTTGAACGGTCTCCTGATACCTAAGACCTTCGTTTCAGCTTTCTGCTGCGACTCTTGTGACAACTTTTCAGCCTGAATCTATGCATAACAATATTATGAAAGAAGTCTTGAAAAATATATAATAAACTTCCCTAAAACGTTCATTACTACAGTTACATAATGCGGTGATCACGATTTTGCATTATATATATATACATGTATTCTCCTATGAGAATACACTTTTGTAAATTTTATGTTGTCAAAATAAACGCTCTGTTGCACGGTAGTGAACGTTTTAAGTATTACGTTAACATTCGTCTATCACTATTCATTCGCATGAGATCGTTTTGTTATGAATCAGTAATTATATCAATGATTATATTACAATGAATAATATTACAAACGCTATCAAACTTTCAATGGCAAACTTGGTGCCATTAAAATTACCTTGCCCAAGAGGTGCTCAACATGTTCTCCTAAATTTGGGTCTTCCCCTTCTGAACTGGAGCTTCCAACGTCATTTTCTGTGTCGTCAGAGAAAATTAAGATATCATCGGTTTCTTTGTCACTTCCGTAGAAACTTTCACAATCCTCTAATGTATCATCTTTGGATATACTTCGTGTACGTCTGTATAACAAAGCTCGGAGGTTCTTTTCAGAATCTAAATTATCTTTTTCATTAGAACGTAGTTTAAAAACTTCGGTGTCTCTCTCAGACGTTGATCTTTTGTCATTAATGTGATCTTTTCTTCTTTTTGAGTAACTGATTGGCAAGGGGGGTGCTACGGCAGTTGTTTCTGCATTCGATTTTAACTGGATTTCGGCCTCGTCGAGGATAAGATACTCAGCAACGCTGTCTTTATCCTTCCAGCCGTAGGATATAGGTTCTTTAATGCTTTTTACATTGCAATATATTTGCACATTCGTCGACGCTTTGCTACTATCTACTTTGATTAATTTACTGCTAGAAACCTGACTGTTCGATTGGATGCCCTCGGTATCTAACTTAAGAGTCAATTTCTTCGTATTCTTTGCTGAATACTGATCAATCGCTTTATTTTTCTTTAAAATAGGGATTAATTCTCTCTTCTTATTAATCACTTGCCCTCCGCTAGAGATCTTTCCTCTAGCTTCTTTATCCTCGGTATCAGTATCTACCGATTCTGGCTCTGTCTCCGTATCTTCGACAATTTCTACTCTCTCAACAACTTGTGGCATCAATCCTACGCTAACATTTGCACTTGGTAATATTACATGATCCTCGGGGGATGCGACAGACTTTTTAATTTCCATTTCTTTCACCTCTACGATGCGGAAAGGATTCGTTTGCGCAGTGTATTCATTGTACGGTTTGGAGTCACTTGTGACCAACGTATTGGTAGATACTTGAGAAAATAAGGTACTATTTTTTGACAAAAAGAACTCCTCATCGGGCATGTAGACATCTCTGTCGGGGGACGAAGAGGGCAATTCGTCGTCAATGTGAACAACTTGAGGCTGAGAGGTTTGAACGACATCCGGTATAGAGCTCATGTCTAATTTTCGTCTAACGGTTCTACTAACGTCTACGATTTTAGTTTTTACTTTCTCGGATTTCGCAGAGGACTTCCTGCTTTTGTGAACGATATCGATTGGCGAGCTCTCGGGTGTGCTTATAACGTTAATTTGATTGTCGTCGAAAGCAGGATTGAGGTATCCTATCCCGTATATTTTCTCATTTTTATCAATTAATTTAGTTTCTTTTTTAGCTAGCTGCACCGAAGTGTGTTCCGGTTGTCTGAACGGTTTAATGCGTCCGTAATTGTCTCTCCCCTTAGTCTCTCCCACCTTACTTTTTATTAATAAATTGTCTGTGATTTTGTGGATCCATTCCTGTGAAAACATGATAGGTAACAGTGTATTCATGGACAGGCGACGGTTAATTGAAAGAGCATGTTAATAGTGTGACAATATCAAGCGCATGGCCGAATGAAAGTGACAATGCAATCTTGTTGTGCAAACAAAGCTTTTTTTCTGTTGCGTGTGTATTCCATCACCAATACAAAAAACTTGGAGCACATTTTATACGTCATTCCTTATTGCTTTTTTTTCCTGGCAAATCGTGTTCAGACCTCTCTAGGAAATTCTATATAAGGGGAGAGACAATGTCACAAGTAATTGACCAGTAGCAATGCATTGCCATCTACCAAAGGTGATATCTGTTTCTCCAGTAACAACAAGAATATTGTATATACATAGCTAGAGAACACCCCTTGGACAAAGTACTTCGCATACTTCACTAATACGCAATATAACTTACATATAATAAGTAATGAATTGGTAAAAAAGTGTGCATAATGATTAAAACTTATGTAATTATTAAATGTAGTCAAGTATTTCCGAAGTGAAAGTTAATTACAGAATAATTGTTCTTAAGAAACACTATAATCAAGAATTAGATCGATTATTTATAAATTGATAATTAATACAAAAATTTTAATGTCAAACACAATATTTCCATTTTAAAGAGATATACGTAATGGTACTATAAAGCACAAGCATTACATATACCAAATGTTAAGATAAAGATCAAGCAATACAAGCGATGAGAAAATAAGCAATGGATGATATTTTGAAATAATTGACGATCCACTTACTTGTATCCTGTTTGATATTTCTTCCCACTTGTTGCATACTTCTGCCACTTTTGGATAATACGTATAACGTTGCAATTGATTAACCTTTGGTTTTGCTTCTATCATTTCACTTTGAACCGCCTACAAGGACACATTATTCGATCAGGTTTCTTATAATTACATTTACATCTTTTTCTTTTCAAATAAAGTACGGAGACTCCTTTATCCGGACATTTATTTTATAATATTCTGGTATCCAAACGTTTTATTACCACCTAGACGCATTTAGTAGAAAACCTGAATGAAATTTTTAGATAATAGAATGTTTTGGTGTCGGAATATTACAAAAATAAGATAAGAGAGTCTCTACTGTACTATTAAATCTTAAATTACATTGCACTGTTCAAAATGATTTTCTGTTAACTGATCAACTGGGACATTATCCAGTTCATTTAGTTTTTCTTCGACTTGTGAGAGCCATGCATTGATTTCGTCAACGTTAGGTTCCTCCTGAAATCATACAAATTTGTTCCATTAAATTAATACAATTATTTATCAAATATAAATGTTTACCTCTGTGGCATTACACAGTTTTAGCCTTTTCTCTGTGTTTGCTAATCTCGTCACAACATCTAACAATTTCTCCTTAAGCTGCTCCAAACACATTGGATCACAAAGCTTGGAAAATTCTTCTTGCGATTTTAACAACTTATCTTTCACAACATTTAATCTTGGAATTACTTCTGTCATTGTTTCCTATTCAAAGAAGTGTTTATATTGTTTATATTACATACGAACATATTCATAATACTGTGCTAAAAAATATTCTGATACATTTAAATCAACAGCATTACAAATATAAATCATTTACTTACGCGCACATATATCGCAATTACAGGTAAATCTGGCATGTTCTTTTGTTTATCTAATTCTTTGTTAATACTATCTATGGACATGTTAATGTAAGACATATTTTTATATATATCACGTGACAAATCCAAAGCTGTTTCCAATGTTGATTTTGACTGTGTAATGTGTAGTCCCAACTGCAATAAAAAGAACCGATAATAGTAATTGCAAAATATAATAAAACTTTATATAGTTTCGTTTAATTCCTGATTTACTGAAAACATTTGCAAAAGATAGCAAATTTCTTTTAATTCCCTTTCTTTCAAATGATCTGTGTATATTACCTTATTATATAATTCTTTCAACATATCAATTCGTTTAGAAAATTTCTCTGGTTCAGCAACATTTTTCTCTTCAACTAATTTTCTACCAGAGAGAATGATATTTTCAATCTCACTTTTAATTTCACTTAGTGTTTGATAGAAACGCTATAAAATAAAAGCAATTCATTATAGTCTTTTGTTCATCTGTTAAAAAGATAAGAAATACTATTTGAATAACAAGTTACCAAGCAATGTTTAAGTTGACCGTCAATAGCTTCTGGATCTTCTGAAGACAATTCCAACAAACACGTCGCTTCTTCTATTCCTCGAAGTTCTCGTAAAGCACTGGATAATCTCGGTTCCAAATTGGTTGGGCAACAGAAACGTTGGAACTTCTTTTGTACCTCAGAAAACGTTTGTTCTATCAGAGATAGCTGTTCATGCAATCTGAGCGCAACTTCTTGTTTTCCAGCAGCTTTGTAAGATTCGATTTGTAGTGCCATATCTTGAAGCGTGGATTGTTGATGTTCCATCTTCTCCATTAATTTCTAAAGTACGTAAAAAAATAAAATTTTTCTACATTTCTTCTATGTTTGAGAATATATTCATTATAAACGAAATATCTTAAAACTGCTGCATAATTATAAATTTCCAACACACACTTTCACATAGTGTAAAAATAAACTTGTACAAAAAATAATAACATTCACTTTGTCATGCTCTTTTATAATAATGCATTTAATGTAATATAATATTATAGTAGAGGTAAAGAATGATTCATTTGTATATGAATTTTATCATTTTTTTATCGGCGTAAATACATGAGAAAACATTAAAAATTGAACAACAGACCTGATAATCATGAGGCAAATCATCGGCAGTAAGGTCGCAGTCAAGAAGTGCAGTTAATTCAGAATCTATTTGCGTTAAGGAGTCTTGAAGAGCACGAATGCGTCCTTCTGATTGCTGTGCTTGCTTCACTGATCCTTCCAGCAGTTTAGCCCGTTGCCCTGCCTACTCAAAATATAGTTCTAATATTCTGCATAACTTTGGTAAATATATTTTACTAGGTATAACTTTACAATTACGAAATCAATAATATAATCGACTATGCAAAACTAAATATAAGTTTGTTTCAATTTCTAACGTTTAGACAAAAAATTTCGAAAACTAAACATGTAGTATTTAATGAACTACAAGTAAATCAACAATAAGTACAATGGAGTATAATTCATCAGAAGACCCACAGCAATTTTTACAAGCAGAATAAAACGATTTTCAAATATCTCTTAACATGTGCTTCTGTTAAGCAGTGATGCATGCAGTTAAAAATAAATACAATTTTGAATGTTAAACACAAAGCTTAGGAAGAATTATTAACATTTCAAGCATTTTGAATGTATAGATTGCATAATGAATATAAAAAATATTTCTACATATACATAACGCTCGCGTACCTGGTTATTCAAATTCTCCCAACGATTCGTTAAACTTTCAACGTCTGATTGGATAGATTGTGTCATGATATTACTTTCGATCAGTTGTTTACCAATTTCTTGGATTTTTTCCAGCCTCATTTCCGGATGGTTACGTATGTAATTCTCCAAATCCTTTTCAAAGCATTGATATAAAATATAAATCATGCAATGGAATACATTGTGTGTCATAAGACTTATACTTACATCAAGTTCTTCTGAGATTTCTTCAGCATCAGCAGCACTTTCTGTAGATCTTTTCAGTCGTTTGTCTAATTTATCTAACCAGTCACTTGCTTGTGCAACCAAAGCACGAAATTCTCCGTACTCGTGGCTAGCATTCTGTAGGTGTCTGTATCGCTCGTAAATACGGTCAGTAACATCAGTCCATCGAGCATTCAAGAACGTAAAACGTCTACCAAGTTCTTGAACCGAGGAGCCCTCGGAGCTCAGTAACTTGTCGTTGCCCATTTCATTGAGGTTTCTGAATTCTTCGACTCGTTTGTCAATCTTCTCTTTCAATGACTGATATCTTCCACGAACTTGGAACAGTTCGATCGAAGATGTTATTTTTGTTTCTACCGGTATTTCTTTCTCTAAAGCTGACAACCACTTTGTGAAGTCTTCTATTCCACTGATTATCTATATAAGTTATAAAAACAAATTTTATATTCTACAATATGTTAGATATAAAAAGTCCTACTATTTAGAATGCTATAGCATTTTATGTAAGAGAATTTTTTTATAACAATACTAAACTGCTTAAAGTTGGGAGAGATTAAGAAAACGGATTTCAGATTTATATTTATCATACAAAAGTCGATAAAATTTAAATGAGAATCTACAAGAAAAATGTAGGTTGGATTATATTTATTAGAACTACCTCATCATTCTTCTTGAGGGTATCTTCATATGTATCATTCAAACTTTTAGCACCGTCTACAATGGCATTCCATTTATGTGAGATAACTTCTAATTTATTGTTCAATACACTTGCAAACTTCGGCTCAGAATTTTCGAGTAATCTGTTCGTTGATGTTTGTAATTTTTCTATCTTCGGTTTCGTTTGGTTTATACGCTCGGAGAGATATTGAACCTTTTTCAATCCACGTTCCATAGTTTCAACATCGTTGGTTACGCTGTCTTTTAATAGTTCTTCCAGGTATTGATACGATTTCTCAAGCCAGTGTTCGAGTTCAGAAAGTTCGTTATTAAACATTTTTAAAGACTCCATATCTATACAATAACAAACCATTATTTAAAACTGTTAAAAATATTGATATAATTAAAATCGTATAAGAATACCTTTCAACAAGTTTTGCTGGCGTTCTTCTAATATTATGGGTATATCACTCCATTTTGTATTAAGATCTTGCAATTCGTCTTTGAGTCTTTGCCCTTGAGAATCGCCATTAGTCTTCATGATCAATTCGTGTCCAACATTGTTCACGTAATTGAAGATCTCTTGGTGTTCCTGCAGAGCATCTTGAAGGTTACCAAATTTTTTTAACTGCTGTGCCATGGTCTGATCATCTGACATGACTATGTGTTCCGACAGCAATGTACTCTCCACATTGTTAATAAAAGCAGTAAGATTAACAATCGCATCCGTATATTTCTTTGGCGGAGTTTTATCAACCGCTTCATTTATTTCAGCTAGCTTATTGGACAGTCTGAAACAAAATTCGCGAATTAAGTTGACATTTCATTACAAATTTAACTTGACGTGCAAAAAATTATTTACGTTTTATATAGCGTTTCCCAGTTGGTAACGAACATCTGTACGTCCACATTCAAATTAGAACTTTCGTTAGTAGCAGGTGAATTTTTCAGAATCTCGTTTAATTTTTCCATTAGTTTCTTAATGCGTTCTTCATGAGACTTCATTGATTTAATCTTCACCTAAATCGTAAAACAAACCATATTTGGATGAATGTTGTTCATCATTCTAATACAATTATTTATAAAATTATTTAAAATAATTACTCTAAACGGTTCAACTTGGTTATTTCCTTTATTGGAGTCCAACCATTTGGTATAACTATCTAACATCAAATTCAAGCTAGCCAATTCTGTTCGGAACTTTTTCACTTCTTCGAGATATTCAATACGACATTTTATTTCGTCCAAACGGTTGTTAATTGCTGACCAACAATTCTGCACGTCCTTTAACTTTGTTTCGTCTGCTTCTGTCGATTCGTTTGCGTTGTTTAATTCGTCAAGAAGCTGCTTTCCCAACTCCAAAACTTTATTATAATCATCTTTATGCGATTCTATGTCACCAATCGTATCGTTATAGACAACTTTTTTTTCTTCAATGCTCAATTCGTCGAACACTCCTTCTGATCGTCCAATTTCCAAGTCAACGTAATCAAGCCATTTGTAAAGATTAGTGAGAGCAGATTCAAACTCGTGTCTGATTGTGCTATCGACACGGCGCTTCTTTGGATCACTATGCGGCGTAGACTGGAACAAAAATATGCAATATAAATACATTACAATACGTAACAAATTGCAGAAAACATTTGTAAATAAACATACCGTAGCAGTAATTTCTTCTTTGTAAGCGATACTTGTTACTGTTTCGGACATCCAATCGTTACCAGAAATCACTGTCATTTCTCTTTCAGACTTCATATCAAACTCGAATCCTGAACTTGTTATCTATCATAATATAAAAATACAAAATAACGTT